AATTAGTCAGGAATTTTGAAAATACGAACATAATAAAGTCTCCTTAAATAAGCTTTTATTTTTTAGACATTACAATATATTTAAGATTATATATTTAAGATTATATATTTAAGTATATCAGTGTAAAACCTGTGCATGATGTGCTTTGACAAAGAAGTAAATTACCTTTTAATGGCTGTCATTTTCGGTTTAGCGTCCCCAAAGAAGATTAACGGTACAAAGGGATTTGTAAAGAATCTGCCATTTCTTTTTGGAGACTGTTTTATGTCCTTGAGGAAGACAAATGGGAAATGGATTATCCCCTTCTTCTTGAAGATTAAAAAATTTAGAATTCAGTTTAAAATATCAAGTGAGAAAGACTTGATTTAGACATAGAAGCCATATGTTAAGTTTCTCTGGCTTTTTAAAAATGAGGATTTTTTTAAATATAAAAATAGATTACTCTTCTGTCAACTGATTATATTTTGTGGCGCAATTAGTGCGCACAGGAGCACCATTTGAGAATAATCATTCAGTTAGCGTTCAAGATTTTTTAAATGTCACATGACAAAGTAAGATTTAATTGGTTACTTTTTTTACCGCGATATGATCAAAGGTCTTAACTGACATCCGGTCTTAACGAAAAATTGTCCATAAAGGCAAGTATTAATACGTTTTATACTTAAGTCAAAATGTAAACATTGATTAGCTTTATATTTGAGTCAAAACGTAAATATTAGTCCTATATATACTTGAGTCAAAAATTAAACATTGATCTGTTTTATATTTGAGCCTAAGGTAAATATTGATGTGTTTTATACTTGAGCCTAAGTTAAACAACGATCCGTTTTGTACTTGAGTCATAAGGTAAATATTCATCAGTTTTTGACTTGAGACAGAAGTGAAACTTTGATCGATTTTACGGGGATCCTATTATCTTCCATCAGGGAAATGGGATGCATGTTCGATCCCTGTCGAAAGCACACTTTTTCTTTAATAGGACTTCTCAATTTAGGCCGGCTGTTAGTAATTTCTCTGATTAAAAACAGACAGGGATATCAACTGAAACATTTGAAGCCACCAATAATAATGTTTATATTAAACAGTTTTAGAAGATAATTGAGGTCCAGCACCTTATTAATCAATAAACAAATGTTTAAGCCAGGTGTTCACATCACTTTGCCTAACCCTTGTATATTTAAAGACAACACTGACACAGAGACCCACAGACGCCTACGTTTATCAACTGTTGGGAGCATTACCCTAGAGCAAGCTCTTTTACCTTCTTATTTTATTTATTTGTTTATTGAAATATTTTATTAATCTTAATTCGATGAGGCTGAAAGTCACGATAACAAACAAAAATAACCGTGGCCTGAGAAACGACCTTGATAGCAACCACTGTCAGTAACAGTCAATCGAAAGTACAAAATAGTTACAAATTATAAAGGAATCGATCACAGTCTATATCTGTTTATTGAACATACATTGACTGTAGACAATTTCTTGACATATTGAAATTAATCCATAAATTAGATAAAATATTTTAAAATACAGGGTGCGGCAAAAGTAACGTCATATTTTTATTATTGAATTTATTGAACAAAATAAATTACAGTGGTTCAAGAAAATTTATAAATATCGTCACATCGAAACAATATGATTCGATATGATTAATAAACTATTCAAGATGTTCAAAATATTTTTCCTTCGTTTTCTGTACAATGTTGGAGCCTATCAGCAACACATCTACAAACCATTTGACACATTTCTAAATTAATTTTAGAAAATTTATCAGAAATTGCTAATTTTAATCCAGGAATTGTTTTCGGTTTGAGACTGTATTTTTCATTAGACTCCACAAAGAAATATCTGGTGGTGTTAGGTCTGGTGATAGTGATGGCCACTCAGTTGCTCCACGTGGTCCTGTTCAAATCAGCTAAAAAAAATAGCCATCATCGGTTGGGAATACTATGGACTCAACATTTGAGCAACGGGGAAGCTTTAAAGAAAACGAAAATTAAGTCAGGTTATTCTACTGCTCTAAAAAAAATATCTGACTCCTTGATTTATCTTTGCAAGAATCAGATTACATCAAAAATAGAATACCGTACTTTTTTGTGCATAATACGGCTTGAGTATAAGACGACCCCGTATTTCTGAAACAAAGAACAGGGAATAAATTATACCCTTGAGTATAATACAACGCCTAAGTAGAGCTACCCATTTGTAAATTTATTTGAAAAATTGTACATTATTATCCAGTAAAATATCAAGTATATATATATTTCATAAAAATATTTAATTTTTCACGCTATTAAAGAAAAGAAATGAACTGGATGTTTAGCCAATAGGTGTTTCTTCACCAAATTTCCGTTTCAAAACTTATTTTTAGCTTATTATATAAAAATTAATTTATATAAAAATATGAATTACTTATAATATATATATAATTATTATGTGAGATTATTATTATATTAAATTATATATATTATAATAAATTATATATATTATTATTAAATTATTATTATAGCATTATATATGTGATGTAACGGTATACAAAATGTGTTGAAATGTTTTATTTCTTCAATATAATATATTTTCGATAAATCGTTCATATTTAAATGATATTCTTCCATCTTGTATTAATTTACGTGATATTTTTTATATACCTTTAACTCATGGTAATAAAACTCTACTGAACTCTTTAGATAATTGAATCGTTTGATTATTGGAAATCGAAAAAGAAATGAAAATTGTGTTCGACTTCATCGATCAAATATTTTCTTGGAGGAACATTATTTTTCAATCAACGACTGAATTATTTTTTTCCAATTGTTATTCATAACAGAATTGTCTGCTGTAAATGTCCGGCCGCGTTATTCGCATTCTTTTTCAACACCTTTTCGACATTCATTACTTATGGTTTTAGAACTAAACATGGCGAACAAACACAAAACACGCGGTTTAACTTGAATTTTAACCTTATAGTCGATAACGAAGCAATTTGAGATTTTCAAACCGAATAGCGTGAATGAATATTGTAAAAGATGAAACGTGATAAGAACACGAAAAACGAAATAACCCGACCGATAATGATCTTGAAAAAAAACTAAATTGGATTATTCCACTTGTTCTTTCATTATATATATATATATATATATATATATATATATATATATATATATATAAAGGGTTTTTCAATAACTTGCACCGATTTTTATGTGAATTAAGTTTAAGCGTCTAATGATATTTTTCCTTTTTCTTTCAGATTTGGTGGGCATTTGGGCGATATTATTTTTCATTCATAATTGCTATGACTTAAATAATATGATCCAATAGAGAAATAGATAAATTTTCACCAATGACACTAATGTAATTACTGCTGACTTTGATCCGTCTTAATGAAACACCCTTATATATAATCCGGCAGGAGTAATGGATAGCGGTTCGGATTGAGGAATCGAAGTCGAATCCATTACATTCACTAACATGATTGGGAGACGTATGACAGACTGTGTTCTATAACTTTGGATGGCAACTGGTCTACTGCGGAAAAAATCTGCTTCGTCAGTCATGTATTGAAAGATACATGATTGCCTAAGAATTGCACATAATTGACTGATGTATGTATGAATGATATTCCTATTACGGAAAAATAAATAAAGAGAAATTGAACAGGAAGGAAAAAACCTATACTCCTGTTCAAATGACAGCGGAGGTGTGTGAAGTGACAGATGAATCTATTTGCTACTATTAAGGAAAAATAAATAAAAATATGACAGGAAATAAAGGATAAATCCTTGCTCTTGCTCAGAAGACCGGGGAATATTTGTCTCTATATTGAATATTTTGATTTTTTTTTTTTTTTTGTTTATTTGTCTTAAAAGGAAATTTCTTAAAAGGAAATGTCTTAAAAGTAAATTTCTGACTTTTTCTTTTAAAAAATGGATGACTTCATAAGATACAGACACGTGTGTTAAGAAATATCGAAATATATAAGACGTGTGCATTTACTATGGAAAGATTATAAATAAAATTTTCAGGTTAAAATACTAATGATTATATGTTTGGAAATTTTCCTAAAATAATAAATATGTACCTATATTTTAATTCAAAAGTATGCAAATTAGAAATTGATTGGGAACGACTAAAATTTGACGAACAAATGACATCATTTCCTATAAGTTATTATATTCGATTGATGCGTTTTCGATTAGGGCGTTTCTTTTAATGAACACAGACGAAGTAATTGAGATAACCATGTATAATAATTTCTGATACTTTCTCTTCTAGACCCATTGGTCGAGGTGCATTTGGAGAAGTATTTCAAGGAATCTTATCAACGAATGGAAGGGAGCAAAATCCATTCAAAGTCGCCATCAAGGTAAATATAAAAACATAAACACCTTTTCGTTCCGTTTCTGAAACACCAGATGCATTCAATAAAAGAAATCGCAATTTGGGAAAAAATCTGCTTCATCAGGCATGTATCAAAAGATACATGATCGCCTAAGCATGTATCACGCATAGCACGTAACTGACTGGGGTACTCTAAGCTCAGATGTACCGGCAGTGTATAGGGATTATGTCCATATCACGTTGAAACTGCTAACCATGTTCACCATAGTCTATGAATATAGAATACAGCGCAGTACGTAATCTGTTCAATGAAACAACGTCAAAGATTAACACTCACAAGGCAGACACTCTACTGAATCTGACTATATTGCCAATACCACCAGCAGTTGTTCCATAATTCTTCAGTCTTCGATATCAAAGTCTGGCAGTGAATATTCGGAAAAAAACATGACCGCCTTTATACACGTTGCATTGAATATTTTGAGCCTTCTGATTGGTTAACCCTTCTATTGGTGAACTATAAAATGAGTCAGCTCATTTTGGTTGGCTCACTAGTACACCAAGGTACCCAAAAATTGTAACAGAACGTCAGACTGTCCAGTACTTAGATGGATGACCGCTTGAAAATACCAGGTGTGCGGGTGATGTAAATGGTTTATAGCTATATCGCGACGAAACACCGGTTCCCGTATGATCACCGAAGTTAAGCAACGTCGAGCTTGGTCAGTACCTAAATGGATGACTGCTTGAGAATACCAGGTGCTCTAACATTGGATGGGCAGGTGGGATCAAGTGCTTATAGCCATATCACATTGAAACACCCGTTTTCGTACAGTCACCGAAGTTAACCAATATCAGGCCTGGTCAGTACCTAAATGGGTGACCGCTTGGGAATATGCTGTATGCATGGATGTGCGAGTGGTGTAATGAGTAACGACTCGGAATTGTTAATCGGATAGCCGAGTTCCAACTCCCGTTGGGTACGTTACATTCACTTACACACAAATACTCTCGGTAAAAGTATGAATCCACCTCTTCTCCTCCCAGCTATGGGTTAATTAGTTAGAGTTGTTTAACTAAAACTAAAGAAATAAATTAAAATAATGAATGCATACAAAATATTTAGATTTCGATATTAAATAACCCATAGAGATGTTGATATGCCGCTAAACAGAAACAACTAACCAACCATCTATCCTCATGACCAATGTTCAGATAGGTTCTATTCTATAGTGACATAATGCAGCTAGGATCCGTCTTGCTACATCCACGGTCTTTAATCACCCTTATTCGCCCCGTATTCCATTTGTAGGAAGTTTCACACAGACAGCTTCTTCTCTGTGGAATACACTCCTGCGTTGATGCTTACTTGAGCACTACAATCTTAACTTCTTCAAGTCTAAAGTGAATTCTATCCTCCACATCCTTATAATCTTTATTTCTACTTCCTCCGATTATATTCATATCATGCACCACATTCAGTAAAGCTTTAGCTTGAGTGGCTCTTGAGAATTTTATTAGGTGATCATTAGTAAAAAAAAAAAAAAAAGTCTATTTTATATTTTTTCTCCAATATGTGAAATTGCTTACCTTACCAATGGAAGTGGGGTATTTGTATTTGGTGTGGCCTATTTAGGGCCAGAAATAAAGACGCAAGAGAAGAATTGAGTTAAACTATATTAAAATATATTAACTGAAACAGTATTATAAACATATACAAACGAAAGTGTTACAGCAAGAATGTTCGGTCTGACTGCTGGAACCTTCCCTTTCCAAAAGGCAGTATCTGTTCCTATTTATAGCTGGGAGAGTCCATGCGTGCGTGGGTAAATTACCATAACAATCACATCCTCTTCGCGAAGTTGTTGTGGCCTTGTTAGGGCCAGAAATAAAGACACAAAGAGAGGGATTGAGTTAAACAAATATATTAACAGAAACAGTAATACAAACATATACAAACGAGAGTGTTACAGCAAGAATGTTCGGTTCGACTGTCAGAACTGACTGCTGGAACCTTCCGTCTCTAAAAGGCAGTACCTGCTCCTATTTATAACTTGGAGAATCTATGCGTGCGTGGGTAAATTACCATAACAATATTCTGTATATTTCTCTTGCATTGTCAACACCAGTTGGGGGTCTTTTTGTCTATATAATGCCGGACCCTTTTAAAATATTCATGATATCTAGAAATGAGAAAAACTGGCTCCGCAAAAAAGCAACTATAATTAGAAAAATTGTGAAAAATATTCTAATTGTAAATACTCAAAAAAATATGCAATTATATTTAACAACATGGGTAAACTAAAAATTATATGGGGAGGAAATGTGTGTTTGTAAACAGTGATTATTACTGCTCCTAATGCAAGAAACTTCGATAAAACAAATCGAGTTCTCCCAGTCACTGGAGTGTTTATCTAAAAATAAATACGCTTAAATTCACCTTCATCCCAGCTGTGTGCCAATGGCTTAGGGGTAGACTTCCGACTGATACCAGATCAGTCGGGTTTCGATACCGGCTTGAGACAATCGGATATCTAGCCACTATGATGAGCTGTGAAACAGTGAAACAGTCAAACTGTGGATGACAATATATATATATATATATATATATATATATATAAAATGAAAACTGTCTATGGATTCACTTAAACATTATTATTTCTTTTGATTTCTGTATGCTCATTTCCTTCCGGGTCCCAACCAGAGACCTAAGGTACGAATGGCATTATGAGCTTTTTGGGAAAGAAAAACAACAACCTAAGATCAGATTTTACATAGATAAAGCCATACGTAAGATGTGAGCTGTACTTTTGAGGACAATTTTTTGTCTTTCTTTAAAACATTTTTTGCCAGGGATCTTTTCAATGAGTCTATCGGAATCATTTCCAATCAAACCGATGGCTCCAACTACAGCTGGAATTATTTGTGTTCCCATGTGCCACATTTTTTTTTTTAGATTTCTACTTCAAGATCCTTGTATTTTGATAGTGTTATTAAGATCTTCAAAGATACATAACAGTCAGCAGGAACTGCCATATCAATAAGAAAGCACATTCTGTTTTCGTGGCCTTTGAACATTATGCCTGGACGATTAGCTTTGATTGTTTTATTATTATATATTTCATTTGATTTCTACTACACAATCATTTCTCTCTGGGTCCCATCCAGAGACCTAAGGTCAAAAATATCCTCATGAAATTTTTCATTGAGCATTTTTGTAAAAACAAAAAAGGACGATTTAAAATCACAGATATTTTACAGGGATAAAGTCCTTCATAGCGTGAGATGTAATTTTGTGTAGTTTTTTCTCGTATTTCTTTAAACCATTGGCTGCCAGGGATCCCTTCAGTGAGTCTATCGGAACATTTTCCAATTAATCCAAGGGCTTCAACTACAACTGGGACGATTGATGCCCTCATGTGCCACAGTTTTTAGATTTCCGCTTCAGGATGCTTGTATTTTGATATTTTTTGAAGATTTTCACAGATACATTGCAGTCTGCATGATCGGCCATGTCAATAACAAAGCGCATTAGGTTTTTATGATTTTTTAAACACTATGTCTGAGTGATTACCTTTAAATATTATTATTATTATTTTGACAGACTCTTCCTGCGGTATGTACTGAAGAACTCGAGATAGACTTTGCTATGGAAGCAGTAATAATGAGGTAGGTTTGACAAAACTTCTTGATAAAGAAATTATGTTAAACGCAATTGCTTTTAAAATTTACTGTCTTGTACATTCATAGAATATGAGTTTGAATGTATTTCCCTCCATTCCTGTTGCTGAGACTTTTTGAAGCGCCCCATTTTTCTATGCTTTGTCCCTTCAGAACGTGAATATTCATGTCTCTCCACAACTTCCTGTCTTTTTTGGCTCAAACTTTGACTGCAACCATCCATCCCTCTTCTACCCCCCATTCATAAAATCTCGGTTACTAGCTGCTCTTCCTTGCTTCTCATGCCTTCAATTTGCCTTTTATTTTAATACTGTTCGCCCTATACAAGCCCCAAGAGCCACCCGTGGTAGAAGAGTTGTTGTGTGAGTGGTAATAATAAGAGCTGCAGTTTAGGGGGATATGTGGGAAAGGTAAAGGTTAACCGTAGACTTTAATATGTCAAAATAGTATTGGCCAGGAAAGCACCCCTTGGGAGTCTGTCCCACGAAATAACGGTTGGTGAAAAGAAGCTATTCGAGTGGATCCCCTACTCCTGTAAGGTATCCACTCGAATAGACTTTAGAAAGAATCGGAAACATAATCCTAAACAGGAAACAAAATATCAGCCCCTACTCATGTTTAATAGACTTTAGAAGAAACCGGAAATCGAGTCCTTAACAGGAAACATAGGATAAATATCTATTAATGTTCAATAGACATCAGAAGGAAAAGGAAACCCAATCCTAAACAGGATACAAGAAATAAACATCTCCTGTTCAACAGACATCAGAAGGAACCGGAAACCTAATGCTCATCAAGAAACAAAGATAGAAGCACCCACACCTGTTCAATCGATTTAAGAAGGAACCGGAATCCCAATCCTAAACTGGAGCGCGATAAAAGAAGCTATTAGGATAGAACTTCCGGTTACATTGAGCTAGTTCAACAGTGGCCTTTCTGTGTGGTTGATTTTAAAATAAAAAGAAATAAAAAATTAAAGAAAGACAAAGGGAAAGATAACGTAAAGAAAGAAAGACATGGCGTAAAGAGGGAAAGACAGAACTTACAGAAGGCAAAAGAGAAAGAAATAACGCGAAGGAAGAAAGAAAAGGGTAAAGAATGAACTTAACGAAAGAAACAAAGAAGAATTTAAAATTGAAAAAAACATAGAGCAAGTAATTAAAGAAAGAAAGCAAAAAAGAAAGAAGAAAAAGAAGGAATGAACGAAATAAATATAGAACGTAAAGAAAGAAAAAATGAAAAGAAAGAAAATAAAGAAAGAAGAAAAAGAAGGAATGAACGAAAGAAATACATAGCGTGAAGAAAGAAAGACAGAAAGAAAAAAGAAGAAAGAAAAAAGAAGGAATGAACGAAGAAAATACGGAACGGAAAGAAAGAATGAAAGAAAGAAAGAAAGAAAGAATTAATTACCTTTATTTCGTTTCTCACTAGATATACTAAAACAATGAGCTCATGTCAATAGAGTAGCCAGCAGTGACATGAGGACAAACAGATCCCTCCTGCTGACTATGAAAGAAACACCTGCCGATAATGACACTCAGATCTGTCATTTCACCCCCCCCCACGTTTGGAGGCTATAATTTAATTTTTCATTATCATTAGCCGTGGACACGCTGAACCCAGAGTTATGATACCTGTGCCTCTGACACAGATAAATGGTTCTCCCATAGGTTGAGATTCCTTTCAATATATTCTTCTTCATTAATGTACCGTGTTCCTCCAGGACGTAGACAATAATGGACCTCCACATCTTCCTGTCACTATAGGTCTTAATAAGTTTTGTCTTTTTGTTATTTCTCCAAAACCCTGTCCTACGATCCATTTGCTCAAGCTCATCAAGTATGTTATGCAGAGCCTTCCTCTGTCCGTCTTTCCCTCTATCTGTCCTGTGAGTATCAGATTTTCTAAGCCCTCCTTCCTCATTAAGTGCCCCAGAAACTTCAACTGCCTTTTGCTGATGTTAAGTATAAGTTTCCTTTTTGTTCCTATTTTCTCCAAAACCTCGTTGTTGCTCACATGTTCGGTTCATAGCATGCTCAGTATCCTTCTGTAGAACCACATTTCTGTTACTTCAAGTCTCTTC